AAATGGGTGTGCTGCAAAAATTTCAGCCGGCTCTTGTGCCTGGCTGGCTTTGTTTTTGACATGGATGTATGGCCACCTGCCTTAAAAGCAAGCACCTAAAAACATGGTCACCCAGGAACTGCATGTTTGTTTAGTGCCCAGTGTGGCCTCAGCAGTGGTCCAGATTCCCTCCTTTCTGAGCTCCCTCAAAGCACAGCGAGCCACTATAACTAAGGCTGCGATTCTGTTAGAGGTTGTGGTTTTCTGTGACATTCTGCAACCTCCGTAACTCCCACAGCTGCTTGGGTGCCCTGTGGCTAGCTGCACCAGCCACGGCTTGGGCAGCCCCCAAGTAGCCAGTGTGGCTGGAGCAGCAAACCGGGAGCTCCAGAGCAGTGGGGAACAGAGATTTAGTCATCGTGGGTATTTAAGTCATAGCCAGGTCAAGGGCCATGAATTTTTGTTTATCGCCCATGACTAAATGTTGGCCATGTGCCAGAAATTTGCAGGAGCCATTCAAAGGCAGATTAACCTTTGGGCGTGCAGCTTGTCATGCAGGGGTTCTACTGGATGCCATGGGAAATAAGGCAGAGACTTTATGCACTGAAGCTTTGGGGGTGCGTGACAGACTCTGGGAGTCACTGTCACATTCTTCCATTGCTGCCAGGGGCACTTTCATGTTCAGTCGTCCTCCAAAAGCAGAATATGTAACAGGTCAGCCATTGGCACAATGGGCTCAAACATTTCCCTGTCTTCCCCAGCAGTGTGAGCGCTGCCCTGCAGGTCCTCAAACAACGATGAGCTTTAACTCTCTGAACAGAGTGAGTTCAAAACACAGCACGAGGCTTTTTCTATTTGGCAATCCCTGTGGGGAAAAGGCTTATGCTGCACCAGCTCTCCCGATGTGCCGATTTTCTGGAGCCCAGCAAAAAGAGCTCTGCAGCCCCATGGTGGGCCAGCCTGTGATGCAATATAAAGAAGGCTGCAGCAGCCTGTTATTTATAAATGGTTGGCTGACAGCCTCCATCTTCAACAAATATTTGTGCTCATCTTCCTCTGCAATGCTGCTGGAAAGTTTTGAAAGAAGTGATCCGGGTGTGGACATAATTGGAAAATACATGAAGCTTAGCTTAAGCTAATGATTTATTTGGGCACAGCTCTTCCTTCCTGTCCCATTCCCTGAACCTTTCACTCATGAACAATTTATATTTCTGTTGGGTCACTTCAAGGATTCCTTTTTATTCTCCTATGAATTAACCCTTATGTATTCAAAACATGCATCTAGGTATCAAGTTCCCTGCTTGCACAAACACTATTAGAGAATAATCACTTCTTGAAATCTGCTATTACAGCTTTGCTTTAAAACCAACTCTGATTGGATCTCCCACTAAATATTCCATCCCCTTCCACATCCTAGTGTCAATTAGCATGCTAGGTGGCTAGTGCACTTAGTACACATGTCCTAATCTAGATCATTACTCTCACATTATTTTGAAATTACAGTTTTATCTATTGCCAAACTTTAAATAGTGCATGTAACTGACCAGCAGTGGCTTCAATGTCAGTATACTCTATTAGCTAATATTTATGATTAGTATATAGCTTTTTTACTCTGCAGTACACCTTGGCAAACTATTGTATTACCAGGCCATGCCGACATCTCTGGTGATCATTTAAATAAATAACTAGAGGGTTCTGTGTAACAGTGGCTTATAGCCAACAGTAACATGGGAAATAGTGGCCAAGTGTTAGGGCTGTCAAGTGATTAAAAAATTAATCACAATTAACTGTGCAATTAAAAATTAATTGCATTAGTCATGATGTTAAACAATAATTAGTACTATTTATATAAATATACTGATTTCTGTTACAACGTGTACAGTCCTCACTTTATTTTTTATTACAAATATTTGCCCTGTAAAAAACAAAAGAAACAGTATTTTTCAATTCCCCCATTTCAAGTACGGTAGTGCAGTCTCTTTATCATGGAAGTTGAATTTACAACTGTAGAAGTACATAAAAAAAACCTGCAAAAAAAAAAAGTAAAACTTTAAAGCCTACAAGTCCACTCAGTCCTACTTCTTGTTCAGCCAATTGCTCAGACAAACAAGTTTGTTTACATTTGTGGAAGATAATGCTGCCCTTGCTTTTTGTTTACAATGTAACCTGAAAGTGAGAACAGGTGTTCATCTGGCAGCATTGGATCTGGCATCGCAAGATATTTACGTGCCAGATGTGATAAAGATTCACATGCCACTTCATGCTTCAACCACTATTCCAGAGGACATGCATCCATGGTGATTAGAGGTTCTGCTCAATAATGATTCAAAGCAGACCAACTCTATCAAGCTCACCAAGCAGACCAACGCATATTCGTTTTCATCATCTCAGTCAGATGTCACCAGCAGAAGGCTGATTTCCTTTTTTGGTGGTTCGGGTTCTGAGGTTTCCGCATCAGAGTGTTGCTCTTCTAAGACTTCTGAAAGCATGCTCCGCACTTCATCCCTCTCAGATTTTGGAAGGCATTTCGGATTCTTAAATCTTCTGTCGGGTGCTGTAGCTATCTTTAGATATCTCACATTGGTACCCTCTTTGCATTCTGACAAACCTGCAGTGAAAGTGTTCTTAAAATGAACAACATGTGCTGGGTCATCATCCGAGACTGCCATAACATGAAATATATGGCAGAATGTGGGGCAGGAGACATACAATTCTCCCCCAGGGAGTTCAGTCACAAATGTAATTAACACTTTTTTTTTTTTAACAGCATGGAAGCACGTCCTCTGGAATGGTGGCAGAAGCATGAAGGGGCATATGCATGTTTAGCGTATCTGGCACGTATATACCTTGCAATGCCAGCTACAAAAGTGCTCTGTGAACACCTGTTCTCACTTTCAGGTGAAACTGTAAATAAGAAGCAGGCATCATTATCTCCCGTAAATGTTTTGTTTTTGAGTGCAGTTATGTAACAAAAAAAAAATCTACATTTGTAAGTTGCGCTTTCAGGATAAAGAGATTGCACTACGGTACTTGTACGAGGTGAACTGGAAAATACTCTTATTTTTACAGTGAAAATATTTGTAATAAAAATAATATAAAGTGAGCAGTGTACACTCTGTAATCTGTGTTGGAACTGAAAATCAATGTATCTGAAAATGTAGAAAAAGATCCAAAATATTTAATAAATTTCAATTGGTATTCTATTGTTTAACAGCGCAATTAAAAAAATTAATCACAATTTTTTTTTTGAGTTAATCGTGATTAATCGACAGCCCTAATAATTTAGTATTTCCACACTAAGAGATTTAGGTGTTTCAAATGACGAAGTATTCTTTTTTTTTTTTTTTTAAACAAAGTGGGACTGCGTTGTAATGTAAGTTTATGCTGTCTTTATCACATGACCGTGAGCATCAAGTTTTTGGTGTGGGTATTTTCTTACTTTTGAGACAGCCTTTCATTGCCCTGATGTGGGCAGACGAGGTGAAAGCAATGGATATACTTTGAGGCACCACTGTGGCTGAGATTCCAGCTAAGCTAATCTGCATGGCTGGAACTGCACTTAATGCTTTCTTCTCGCTGTTCAGAGCCCTCCCCATGCCTAGACTTCCTGTTGGCCCATGTTCACAAACATTACAGGGTGTGCTGTGCCAGGTATAATCATCTCTCAGACATTCTCACAGTTGTTATTAACTGTAACAAACTTAAAACAGACCTTTCCGAGCAGTCAAGTATACCCAGCATCACGGAGGCCAACAAATGGAGATTGCTCAAGCTGCTTGAAATGTGACAGCCTTAAACAAAAAAACAAAACAAAAACGGGGGTAGAGAGCAGTCAGTTTTCCAGAAATGAAATCCTTGGGTTTGCCAATGGCCAAAGCTCATTAACAGCTTGGTTTACTCCCCCTTCACCAATCTTAAAATGTATTGTTCTCTACAAGTGTGTGATGAGAAGATGTGCGTCCAAACTCGGTTTTATAAAAGTAAAGTAGCTACCAATTTAACCAGGGAGAGAAACTGCATAATTAGCCAAGCATTATGCAGCCAGCCAACCCAGTAATGTCTTGGTCAGTGGGGCTGACAGGAAACAAACACATTATCCATTTTTCCTTAAAATGCTTTATATTTGAACTTGTTTCTGAAGAGGTCAGCCAGTGACAGGAATTCCATGTTTTCAAAACACTGAGTTGTAGTGTTTTCAAAGAAAACCCAAGAGCAATGTGCCCTGAACTACTCAAAATATTGTAACAAAACAATTGAACAGTTCAGAAGACTGGAAATGAGTCTTATCATTGACTGTATCACATCTAATCGTGGTCACCAATGATCTAAGTCACCATCTGATTAGCTACCTGGTGGTTTTTGTAATATGCACCCCTGTATAGTAGGTCACGGACTGAGGTCACTCTCAGCACTCTTACTGGCACTCAGAGATGCCCAGGAACGGACGGGCACTACACATTCCCCAAGTTGGTCCCTGCAGGTCAGGCCTGAGGCACAGTGGCAGGGAATTTTGTGTTGCTCCTACTGCATTCGTTTTGAGATCAAATAAATCATCAGTCTCTAAGAAAGGCATCCTGGCACCTTTTGTAAGAACTACGTTCATTTACAAAATATAAATAAAGCTCGAAGGGATAGAAATGGTTGGGAGTCCTTGCTGCAGAGACCACATGAGCCTAAGTTGGCAGAGTCAAATGCAAATATAGATTCAGGGCCAATCCAGCCCTTGACATAAGGGGGTGCAGTGCTACTTCCCAGGGGCTGCAGCTGCTTATGGTAGCAGATGAGCTTGTCCCCTCAATATCTCATTTACTATCCAGTTTTTAAAGTAACTTGGAATCACCTTACCATCAACTTGATAAAAGCTGATGCTGAAGAATTAAAGTCCTTATGCTAAATTGGTCAATTTCCTTATAGGAACCCAGCTCAGTTTAAATCAGTCCTTACTGGCAAGAGAGCTACAAGTCTGTTACAGGAACAGATTATCGCAGGGTGCATTACATGATCTACACAAAACCCTGCAATTAAGAACAATTTTCTTTATCAGCAATTCCACTCAGGAAAAGTTATTTCGAAGTTCTCCCAAGAGAAACAATGCAAGAGCGTCACTCACATTGGAAAACATACTCAACCCCCGTCTACTGATTAAACAAACAAACAAAGAAATAGCGAGTGGCAGCAGCATCTCTGGCTTTGCCCAAAAAAGCTGCGAACAGAAAGAATGCCATTTTTCACGTGTAGTCAGTCGAGCCAGGGAATGGGCTCTTGGGGAGCTTGGTGGTAATATAGTTGAATGTTTGAGCTTTATGATAAAAACAGCCACTCAGTCAGCAAGGATCCTGCACTTCTTAGAATATTATTTTCCACAGCCTGTATCACTCATGAACGATATTTGAGTGGTCACTATCCCCACATTTCCCACCCTGATTTCACTGGTAGATCCCAGGCAATTGTTATTGAGCTGAAAAAATGGCAGCACCACCAGTAATCTCTTTGGTCCTGGCTGAGTCTGAAAACTTCCAGATGGCACTGGAAGAACAAGGCAAATATGAAACAAATGTGAAGTCTTTAAAACCATATGAAATCAGAGTCTGTTTACAATAGCATAGGCCATGCATATGTTTTGGTTTAACGAAGAATTGTTCCCTCTGGCACTTAATCACCCCAGGATACCTGCTCACTAACCGCAGGACTAATCATATTGGCTTGTACAGCAATGTAGTCACATATTTTTTCTTGTAACGATGAGTGGCACTGAGCACCATCACTCCATCCTAGGGAAGATGGAAAACAAATTAGCACAATGTAATGGTTAACTAAATGCAACTGCTGTGATAAGGTAGGACTCCCTTACCTTGATAGAAAGCGCATAGAGGTGGTTCAGCATGACGTGATTGGGCTCAGGAAGTAGAGCTGGATCACACTGAAAAGCATGTAAAGGGAGGAGACAGAGAGCGGAAGACTAAATTATGGCATATTGTCTTTCCCAGGCAACCGCTCAACAAATCTTTGTATTGGCTCCCCGTCAAAATTCCAATACGATCAAAGATCACTTAAGGCGGGACCAGGTTTGCTATGTTCTCAGAAGTTCTGATAATTTTGCAGGGTATAGATTAGGATTTATGGGTGGGGAAACTGTTTTGGTTTTGAAAAAGAATCAATTAAGATGATGGATCAGTTTGGACTTCGGTAATAAAGATCTCGCCCACTAGGGGACATTTCCAAGGTTTGGGATTGTTAAAAGCAGCTCCAGTGCACGTTTAACCTCTTAAATACTTGACCCTGACCCAAAGAAAAAGGTTGTCCACTCACAGAAATGCCAGTGTCCTTATTCAGGATCACCTGCAGCAGGTGTGGTGGAAGAATAGGTGGAGTCTTGAAACGTTCCTCTGGCTTACAAACATAGGGATCCTGGTGGTAGGGTCCTGGGGGTGAACTTGATAGCTCTGTTAGGGAGATGGTAAAATATTTAACCTTAATGTACCTGTAAAGAGTTTATCTTCTTTAAGCTGCAGTAGTAATTTCACATCCAGAAACCTGTGTATGACAGAAGCTAATTGCGCTATAGAGTAAATCCTCCAGAAACTATAAAGATGCCACACTTCCTGTACACTCTAGATGAAATCTTTGGTTTCCTGGGACACATTTCCTGCTGGGCCAGAAACAAACTAAAAAATACAACCATCACTCAGGACAGGGCTCTTGCAAGCTGCAGCTACATAGCACAGTAGGAAGTTTTGTCACATCATTTCAGTATGTAGTTCCTGTTCATAATACCGGGTTAATCTTGACACTGGTCTGCTCATCAGCAAAATTCTACTCCAACAGCACACAAATATGGGACCAGTACTAGCTGACAGAATGCAAAGGGAACCCAAATTTCAGAATCTGGTTACAGAATTTGGGAAGTTTTGTGAAGCTCAAGCACAAAGATCTTTAGCAAGAAGCCCAAGAGATGATTTTAAAGACTCCACAGTCTGCCTACGGGAGACCAGGTGGGTAGGGTCAACAGTCAGAAAGAACTTCAAGGGTTGGTCCTGTTTTCCCCTCTTCCCCCCTCCCCCCCCTTTTTTTTTTTTGAGGGAGTGGGAGGGGAGTGGGGGGGAAGAGATTTCCTGGCCCAGTATTTCTGTAGCACACATTCATTACTAAGTGCTACCACAGATTATTTGCTTTTATGCTAGTTTTTGGCAGTCCTGGCAAACAGTGGAATAAAATCCCCTTCTTGGTGACAAAATATTACTGAAATTATTTAGTGTATATGAAAGGGGCCAAACTTGCAAATAGAAACAAAATCCTCCAGGTACCCAGAATGCTGCCATGGCATTCCCCACAAGTACACAACAATCCTGAAAAAAGGGGTCAGAGACAGGTGAGTCTCCATGACCTTCAAACTGCTGTCAAAGCGGTCAACCTCAGTATCTGTTTTGAGTTAGCTACTGATTCACCGGGGAGTGGTCTGAAATCACCACTTCATGTCACACATTCAAATGGCAAGGACTTACTACTAATCTAGATGGGGTTTGATCAGTGACCTGTACTCTGCTTCAATCTCCTCACTAATTCCAGCTTCTCTCCTTTTACATTTCATGGTCCCTGCACATATCCCCAACAGATTGGGTATAAAAAGTGAGATTCTTCTACTTTGGGGATTTAATTCAAGACCAGGAATTAAACGTAGAGGGTATTTATGTAACTTCAAGCACATGGTATAAGATTACAAATGGATTCATACCAGACATATCTGAGCATTTTTGGGAGTCCACCATTAAAGCATCAAATACTTCAAAGTCAGTTTTCTTCACCTGAATGATGTTGTTAACCGTACCAAGCTGACTGGTTACTACTGGCTGGGAAGAAACAGAGGCAAAAAGTCACAATTCAGAAGGTATGCAGGTTATTAATATTCTGCAGACTTGAAAAACCAATGTCCCACAGTCCTCATCACCTACTTCTTGTTTAGCCTCTGGTTATTTAACAGGCAGACAGCATTACTAGCCTCAGATTGGTACAGGCCAGCTGGGGCCAGGAACATTTCACCAGAGCAAACCACCAATTGCTATTGTTAGCAAAGGCCCTTTCTTTTAGGTTAGCGTGGAAGCCAACTAATTTCTCTCATTCATGTGCATGAATCATCTTGTAAACCCGCAGGATCGAATAAAAACGTTACCTCCGAAGGATCATGCGTCCACTGACCGTCCACGTAGAACTTGTACTGGTGCTCTCCTTCTGGCAGATCCAGGATTGCTACAAAGTTATTGTGGCTGTGATTTCAGACACATACACAAACAATTAACATTTTATTCTGAAAAATCTGCCCATCTACAGACTCGCTACAATTACAAAGAATGCAAATAAAGATCAAAAGAATGCAAAGATCTCAAACAGAATCTTTCAGACAGTTCCTGAAGGTATTGACCCTTTTAAAAGAGCACTTGAGGCAATCCAATGCAATAATCTAAATGTACAGAAGCCAGCTAAAGCTAATGAGTACCCCCTCAGTGACAGCTGAGTCCCATCTCTTCATATGCACAGCTGCACGTTTTACATTAACACCGATCACCTGAAAATCCAGGCTCCTGGTGTCAAAGGGTTAATGTTATGTTTTTGAAAAGCCATTCTTCTCGCATCTTCGTTACTCAATACAATGTAAGAGCACATTAGTTTGGGCTCATCAGCCAGAGCTTCACATACAAGGTAAGTTCACTGCAATAGATCCTTGACTTTCAGTATCTTCCATCACAAATCTCACCCATCAAATGAACAAGAACTGTGAGAATGAAAGCAGTAACTTAACTACTGCCAGAAAAACTGCTTTGAGTAGATGCAGTTTGATCAGACTGTCATTCCTGTGCTTTGAGCTTCCTGCCTGTTTTGAGGTCTTCACAGTAGCTCAGATAGATAGAAATCATGCCATGTGAACACATGCCAATGGGTCATGCTACACTAAGAGTCCTCCATTCCTCACTTCTTCCCAGAGAAGGGGGCAAAATCTGCAGATTAAGTTCCCAGAGAAGCTGTTTTTGCTATTTGAGTTTGGAATGAGTGTCTATTCAACAGGGACTTTGTAACAGGGTTTACTTATTCACTATAGTGACTGCCAATTGCAAATTAAAGGGGGACAGATGTCCCTTTTTTCTAAACATTACCTCTGTAGGAGACAAACCTACTTTTCTCCCCCACTCGCCATTATTATTTCTTTGTACCTTTGCTAGGAGAGGTCTAAATTGTGATCTGAGACTACACTGAAACTCTGCAGACCACCATGCCAAAACTACCTCCCTCGCTTATTGATCTGGCATCCAGTTCTTTGAATCCTTCCATTGCCTCCCCCTTGAAGCACTGCACCATGTTTAAACTTCTTGTTGTCCCTCCAAAGCTCCTGATAATTCCATCCTGGCATGTGTCTTGGGCCTTGCTTCCCACTACATTCCCCGCTCAATCTGTCCAGTCTGAAAATTATCCTAGTATTGATGCTCCATTGGTCCCCTTTTCCCCACTCCTGTTTCCATAATTTCTCCCATGCTGCTTATGCATGGAATGCCCTTCTCAAAACCACCAAGCCATCACCCTCTTTACTGAAGTCCCTAAAACACTTTGGGGCAAAGTACCTAAAAACACACTAAATTATCTCCACTTGTGGATTTCCCAGTGTGTCCCATCTTCTACATCTACCTTTAGACAGTAAACCCTGCATGTAATGGACTGTGTGTATGTCTTTTCCATAGTGCCAAGCAAATAACTATTTCCATGGCAAAGTTTTCACCTCTGGCAGTCAAAGAGTCCCACCATTCAGCATGATACGCTAAGATTTCTATAACTTCTCTCTTCAAGAGCTCTCAAAGCTAACAGAAGTATGCAGTAATCTAAGCATAACAATAGCATGACCCTAATTGTTTCCAACTTTAGATAGAATGCCAGTGATGCAACCTAACCAGTTTGTTACCTTCTTGTAAGAGGAAGTTTACTCCAGTTGTTGAAGGAACCTGATAGATAAACCTCTTTCCCTCCCCCAGTCCAGCGAAAGACTGTTGGCCGATCTTGAACAGGGGCTTTTTCACTCACTTCCAGATCTTGCTGCCAAGCTAGAAATTCCTCTCTCTCTTGTGGAGCCTAGAAGCACAAAACTTTACTCAACAGAAGTTCTACGTTGGCTCCTTTGCCCTGTGAAAGGAGAGGTAAGCTTAGAGAAAGGTAACATTTGACCAAAGGTATCCTCAACCCTATGCGTGTTCTTCAACATTCCCACAAATTGGAAACAAATGCAGGTAGTCACTGTTAGAGACAGAAGTTGGTATCTCAACAGTTTGCAAGTCAGTTTGTAAATAACCCATGAGTTGAAAGATTAGTAACCTTCCAAATTGGCAGAAGATATTAAAACAGAATGCAAAACAATTAAACCAGAGAAGTAACTATCACTGAGTGGGAAAAGCACACAAAGTAGCTGCATATATTTAAACTGAGGAGTAAAAAATAATTAAAAAGGAATTTCTTTTATAAGGCATTTGTTAGACCCTGCAAAATGCCTTCCAGAGAGAACTTGCAACTAGACCACAGGAAGGCTATTGCTGTCTGCAGGGTACAGCTTAATGCAACATATGATCAATTAAGTTGGAAGACAGTGAGCTAAACATTCTTATTACACCCAACAAGGGGGACAGACCAAAATTAGGACTATTAGAAACTAACTAGGGAACTCTGACAGAACTTTTAAAGTGGAAAGAATCATCACCTGGAATGTTACTGAGTCGGGTGATTAAAAAAAGCATAAAAGGAGCTAAAAAGATACAGCTAAGGAAAGTGGTGCATTAATAGACAACACTGGGCAAGGGATTAGAGCCTATTATCTTATTCGTTTTTCTACAATTTTTGTGAAAAATGTATTTCATTTGCAGAAATCTGCTCAAAGGTTAGAAGAACAAAGAAATAAGGTTTTCTTCCCTTAAAAAAAGAGAAAGTCAGCAATGCTTCAAGTTTCTAAAACTGAGTTTATACAGAAAATTGGCTAAATTTATGACTTCCAAAAATACAGTTGATAGAATGTCTAAGCTACAAGGTGCCAGTGTCAGGGGTTATGACGGAAGAGGAGCCATAACTTATGATACCTTTATTTCCTCAGAATGGAACAAGTCTGCATCTTCAGGACTATCCATCAAGATTTTTGGTCTATCACCTTCTTTTGTACTAATGGCTCCACCACAATTGTCTCTTCGGGGCGTCTTATGGCCCCCATGACGCTCCATACCCGCTCGCTCGCTGCTTGTGTTCCCCATTTTAAGGCCCTGAAAAGAAAAGAAATAGCCTTATTTACTGAGACACACACATATTAGTGAAATTTGAGCTCTGCCAATTTGCTTTTAGAAGAGACTACAGAAATAAACCCACGGCAAAACAGACAGTGATAAATTAGACATGCACAGTAACACAAAGGCAGCCATAAAAAATAGCAGAAAGATATTCCTACTCCTTTCATGCATACACAGTACTGACAGAAAGCATAGTAATCAGTAGACCATAACAGCTTGACTTGTATTTTATAAGCGACACTGGAGGAATGGAACATACAGATACCCCCTGACCCAACTCCACACCCTTAGCACGGACCAGTGGATAGGACACTAAGCAAGGAATTAGGAATAAAAACCTGGTCTTCTGATTTACAGAGTCATAGAAAATCATTCAATTACTCTACCCTACAAACATCTTTAAAATATACTATATTGTACGTAAAACAACAAGCTTGCTCCTAAGGCAAAAGGGATAACTATAAGGAAAGCTTTGCATATAGCCCTGTTTATTTTGTGTTGCGAAGTAAATCCTGGCAACCTTGAAGTCACAGCATGCAGGTGGTTGTCACAAAAGCTCAGTCTCTCCTGAGGCCCTTCAGAGATACTCATCATAAGATAAGGTCCTCTATTGTACCACTCAAAAGATGACCAGGAGCTAATATCAGAGTGCTTAGTCCTGGAGCCCCAAAAACAACATCTCTACAACTTGAGCTAAAGGAAGATTTCTTTCATTATCTGTTAACGAAGCCTTATGTTTTTTCTATGCAGAAGCCAGCCAATATAGGCATACACATATATAATGGCAACAACTACAGTCAATGGCAAAAAACAAAAACACAAAAAACTCAACCCCACACAAATATTGATGTCAATAAGAACTTGTCCGGGCCCAAAACTACCCACAAAAATATCAATAATTTTACTTAAATAAAATGTTCTTCAAATATAGCCAGTGCAGTAGTTTTCAGAAAGATCTACCTACTATAAGAAAGTTTATAGGGGCGATAAGCTCTTTTTGAGATTCAGGGAGACAGATGTTTGAAGTTGGTGCATTTGTCTAACCAAGGTTTATTATAAAAACGAACAAAACCAGGCTGATGAATTTACCCAGAGTAACTGGGAAAAAGAGGGAAGAGGATAGTTTCTTCCTCAGGTTTCAGAGGAACAGCCGTGTTAGTCTGTATTCGCAAAAAGAAAAGGAGTACTTGTGGCACCTTAGAGACTAACCAATTTATTTGAGCATGAGCTTGAAGTGAGCTGTGGCTCACGAAAGCTCATGCTCAAATAAATTGGTTAGTCTCTAAGGTGCCACAAGTACTCCTTTTCTTTCTTCCTCAGTTTACTCAGTTTTATTAATTACTTGGATTGTTTTTTAAAAAGTCTCATTCCAAGTGTAACAGGTGTCAAGTCTATTAAACCTCAGGCCAGGGTTTCATGGATCCCACCAACATACCAAGCCAGCCCCAGATCTGGGGTAAAATTTTCATAAGGGCTTCTGGGACTTCCATTTCTCAGTTCCATTGGCTTTCAGCAATACTAAGGGCTTGGCTACACTTGCAAGTTAGAGTGCATTAAAGCAGCCCCAGGCGCCCTAACTCCCGACCCATCCACACTGGCAAGGCACTTAGAGAGCCTGGACTCTGCAGCTGGAGCACTCCTGGTAATCCACCTCCACAAGAAGCATAACGCTTGTTGCATCTCGGCTGAAATGCCCCAGTGCCAGTGTGAACGAGGTGTTGCATTACTGTGCTTTGATCGGCCTCTGGAAATGTCCCATAATCCCCTTAAGTCAAGTGGTCACTCTTGTCATTGTTTTGGAATTGGCTGTAGGAATGCGGATATCCCCTTTCTGACAGCCGGCATACTTATCGGCTCCAGGACAAAGCAAGCCATTGGTGTGGAATGTTGCTTGCTGTGAGTGTGAGAGAGAGAGGCAGGGAGAGTGGGGTCTGAATTTACAAGACAGAATGCTGACAAACTCTCAGCACCCCAAAAACCCACTCTCTCTCCCCCAACATACACACAACACACTCCGTCATACTCCACCCCCCCCACCCCCCGCATCTGAAAAGCATGTTACAGCCACTTGAACGCTGGGATAGCTACCACAATGCACTGCTCTTTGTGGCGTTGCAAGAGTTGCTAATGTGGCCACGCCAGTGCGCTTCCAGCTAAGAGTGTAAATACTCGGCAGGTTTTCCCTGCTGCGGTCTCGGAAGGCTGGTTTAACTCCCAGCGCTCTGCATCTGCAAGTGTAGCCATGCCCTAAGGCCCCTAAGTGCTTAAGGCCCAGATCCACAAAGGGTCTTAAGCATTGCAACGCCTACCTTTGAGGCACGAAGAAAATAACTGAAATCCACAAATCCTGGATTAGGCACCTTTACTCCCTTTACCATGAATGGAAAGAGAAAGGCAAGGGAGAGAGCCGCCTATGGTAGTAAATGGGAGATACTGATGAGAGGGATGTGTCCAAAGCCCCACCTAAGTCTGGGTTACAGGGAGCCTCCTATTTCTGCTCGCCAGCCAAATTTGTATCAATATTCAGATATATATTGGAATGATAAAGTTAAATGTCTAATAGCATACTGCACAAGTGCAGCCTTTTCTATCGCTGGTAACAAGTATGAGAGTCTAGATTTAACCCCCAATTTAAGAGTCACTAAGAGTTATTTATTGAATCAGTTTTCTCTTATGAAAATTTATAACTGAAAGTCTTTGTAATATTCATCAACAATTCACTGATGCACTGTTTCAAGAACTTCTTCCAATCTCCCTTTTTAGCAATCCCATGAAGTTACAATATCCAGACTCAAGTATCTCAGATAAAAATTCCGAAGTCTGCCAACTCACCAATCCAATTACTAATTGTAATACTGATAGGAACCCTTCCCGGCCCATCTATCCCATACACAAACTATCAATATACAGAAACAAACACTGAATTTGTATAAGAAAATTAAATACTTGATAATTACTATTAATCTGTTTAAAACATTAGTGTTGCCAACCTTTCTAAGTAATTAACTCATTATTTCAAGTTTCAATTACTTTTTCTTTTATTTCACAATAACCAATCATTTCTGTATGTTAAGTTTTCAAAGTTTTATTTTTTCTAAAGCTCAAGGAACAAACTCTGATGAGACCCCAGCAGAACACACCTGGAAGATGTCCATTAATTATCCCATAGTCTCAGCAGTTCTCAAACTTTAGCAACCTGACGACCCCCATTTTGATTTAAAATTTTTCCGAAGCCCCCAAGTCCCCTGCTCAGCGCAGGCCCTGCCTCCACTCCACCCGTTCCCCCAAGGCCCCACCCCACCTCTTTCCACCCCTGCCCCTCCTCTTCCCCCACCCCTCCCCTGAGCCAGTGGTGTAGCCAGCATGGGATATTTGGGTGGGCCCCAACTTCAGGTGGGCAGGCAATTACAGGGGGTCCACCTCCCCCCATCCTCTGCAGATGGATAGAGCCTCTGGCCAGGGGCTCCCCAGGTACTCACCCAGCTCCGGGAGGAGACGCTGCTCTCAAGCGTGCATGGCTCCCTTCCAGATCCCACCATCCCATGCCGGGGCCAGCTCCCCTAGCCGGCGGGCCTACGTTTTTTTAAGTTCTCTACCGCCGTTAGGCTCCTGCTCGCTCTCCTCCCAGTAGCAGAGTAGCCACTGGGCCAATCCAGGGTCCCAGAAAAATGGGCGCTCCCAGGCCCTACCCACTCCGCCCGGAGCTCCAGCCTGAGACTGGGGTCGGGATGCAGGGGCTTGCCCCGCTCCATCTGCCTGGTGCTCCAGTCAGGCGGCAGGGGCTTATCCTGCTCCATCTGCCCCACTGGCGCTCTAGCAGGGGTGCAGGCGCTTGCACTGGCAGGAGTGCCAGGTGGGCAGAACAGAGCAAGCCTTGGTGCCCCAACGCCATTCTCCAGCTGGAGTACCAGCTGGGCGGGTGGAGCGGGGCAAGCACTGGAGAGTGGGCCTGGATCCTAAGTGGGTGGGCCGTGGGCCACCCAGGCCCAACCGTGGCTACACCCCTGCCTCGAGTACACCCCATTCCTGCCCCTCCTGAACAGCTGTTACACAGCATGCAGGAGGCACGGGGGGGGGTGTTGATCAGTGGGGCCAGTGCCCCCCGACATGACTCACAGACCCCCTGGAATATCCTTGTAGACCCCCATGGGTCCACAGACCCTAGTTTGAGATCTAGATCAAGAGTTCCCTCATTTGCTCAGACAGACATGTCACTTTATTAGTATAACATTAACATCTGGAGTCCAGAATTACTAAACCCATTTATTACTGCGAAAATACAAAAATTATGTGACCTAATTTAATAAAGACACTAATTATAGGCAGAAATTATTACCAGGCTGAGTGGATGTATTAATAGGAGTGTTGTATGTATAACATGGGTCATAAATGTACTGCTCCACTGAGTGCTGGTGAGGGCTCAGCTAGAGTACTGTGTTCAGTTTGGATGCCACGGTCTAAAATAGATGTGGACAAATTGGACAGAATCCAGAAGAGAGCAACAAAATGATAAACTGTTTAGAAAACCTAACCTATGAAGGAAGGCTAAAAGGTTTTTCTTAAAAAAAACAAAAACAAAACAAAAGAAGCCAACTGCAGGGTATATTCAGTCTTGAGGAAAGACGAACGGAGACCCAATATATTAGGGCTGTTATCAAGAGGATGTGATCAATTGTTCTCCATGTCAAGAAGTAAAAAAGAAAAGGAGTACTTGTGGCACCTTAGAGACTAACCAATTTATTTGAGCATGAGCTTTCGTGAGCTACAGCTGATGAAGTGAGCTCACTTCATCAGCTGTAGCTCACGAAAGCTCATGCTCAAATAAATTGGTTAGTCTCTAAGGTGCCACAAGTACTCCTTTTCTTTTTGCGAATACAGACTAACACGGCTGTTCCTCTGAAACATGTCAAGAAGTGATCACCTTAATCTACAGCAAAGAGGCTTAGATTAGATAGGAGGAAAACCATTCAAACTATATGGATAGTTAAGTATTAGCATCCATTACCACGGAAGGCTGTAGAATCCCTCTCACTGCAGTTTTTAAGAACAGGTTAGAAAACCACTGGTCAGCAATGACTTAGGTATACATGGCTCAGCTTCAACATAGGAGGCTTGATCAGATGACCTCTTGGGGTCCCGTCCAACCCTACGTTTCTACGAGTCTATCCCAGAAGACTAAAGGCAGCGTGAAACTGACTCGTGACTTTTTACTCTACAGAAAGAGCCCGCCGGTGCCACGATCCCTTTTGAGGCCGGAGTCTCGTTCTTTGCTGTACTACAGAGAGCAGCAGAAACCCGCCACCTCGCTCCAGAACCGATGCTGCACTGGCAGCGGCCGCAAAAGGCTCCCTTGCCGTGGGCCGCCACCGGGCCCCGCACGGGCGGCCCCCAAGGGTGGGGGGGGGGAGCTCGCTCTCGCGCCATGGCCCCCCTCGACCGCGGTGATTTCGTGTCAGCGCTGGTGGGTGCGGTCACGTGTCTATCAGAAATGAGACCCCCGAACCCGCTAGGTGGGGCGCGGATACTCCCCGACCTAGCGCGGACAAAGGGGGCAGCGTCCTCAGGCTCCAAGAGCCCCCGGGCCCGGGTTCGCCCGGAACTCAGCCCCGAGCGCCGGCTCCTCTCCGGCAGCGCGGGGAGCCCGCCCCGCACGCGGGTCACGGCACCGCCGGGGGGCCCAGGCCGCTCCTCCTTCCCCTCAGCCCCACCCCCAGCCTGCTCCCTGCCGCTTTCCACGGGCCCCCGGGGCGGGGCGGGGCGGGGCCGGGCCTCGCCACCCATCGCCTCAAGGTCGCCGGGCCGCTTAGCACCTCCGCCCCGGGCACAGACCCCCCGCTTCACGGCGATACCCAGCGGGCAGGGGCTGGAGCGACGGGACCCGCCACCCGCATCTCACCGGCTGCCGCCCCCGAGTCTTCCTCAGAAACCCCTTCGGAATCCTGCCCCGTCCGTCCTCCCGCCCGGGCTGCTTCCGCTTCCGGCGACTCCTGCGCACCCCTCTCCCTGCCCCCAGCGGCGGGCTTCCGCTCCGACCGTTCCCCGCGTCCGCGGAGTCACCCTCGAACCTGCCCCCCGGGAGCTGCGCTTCCGGTCACTAGCGCCGCCTTCCCCTGAACTTCCGGTCAGTCTGCGCCCCTCGTCCCGGCACTTCCGGCTGTCGGCGCCGCGCTCGGGCAGGACTCAGGGGCGAGGCTCAGGCGTTTCTGCCCCGCCCCTCGGGGGGCGGGACCATCGTCAGCCCGGGGGGGGGGCGGTGCACAGCCCGGGAGGGGGGCGGCGCCAAGCGACCCGTCCCCAGGCTCTGCCGTTCAGGGGATGCCCCTTCCTGGGCGCCTCAGGGGCCCCCGGCTCCGCAGCAGCCGCTGACCGTGCAACGGATCCCACGTCGCGTTGCAAGCGTGCCGTGGGGTAGCCGGGGGGCAGGTGGAGAGGATACGTGGGGGAGGGGGGTGCTCTCCAAGACTCTGCGCCGCCCCCACCCCATGGCACCGCTTTTCATAGCCAGGTGTCTCCTTGTGCCTCTGCTCTGATCAGCAGGGCAGCCGCTAACAAGCGGGGGAGGGATAGCTCGGTGGGTTGAGCTTTGGCCTGCTAAACCCAGGAGTTCAATCCTTGAGGGGGCCACGTAGGGACCTGGGGCAAAAATTGGGGATGGGTCCTGCTTTGAGCAGGGGGTTGGGCTAGATGACCTCCTCAGGTCCCTTCCAACCCTGATATTCTATGTGATAAGGTTGCCATTTAAATTGCCAGCACTAGGCTTCAGGGTTAATGCAGCCCTAGAGATGAGTGTGCTCAGAGCTATGGGGAATGCGTTCCCTGTGAGTTACGAGGCCTGGCTGACATTACACCAGTGACTGGCCTGTTTTATGTACGGCCATAACAGTGCTGTCCGTGCATTATAAATCATCATCCCATTTCCTGACCAGCATGTCCACATCCAGGATTCTCCCATGTGCCAAAGTATAATTTTGTCCCATACATCCCGTGTTTGGAGCCCAGTTCTCTTACAGCAGTTAAGGCTGGAGACGTGGGAAGCAGGAGATTATCTGAAATAGTGCTGAAAAGGTCTGGCAGAGCTTTTTCATGGACTAGCTTATTACAGCAATAGAATTACTCCCTTTCCTTTTAAATACAGTCTCTGGGGCCCCCTCTGTGATTTTTCCTATTTGCCCCACTCTCTACCGCAGTGATGGAAAGAACTTGCCTGGCACTGGGCACAGTATATAACTCTGCCCCCCATCCCCCAGTGCCAGCCTCCTGTGCCGGTGCAAAAGGGAGCTGGGGGTATTCCAACCCTGCCCAGCACTCCCTCGCCTCAGCACACTTGCCTTAACATTCATTTTCTCAGTGCTAGACCCGGCTTAAAGCAGAATGGGAATTAGTTAAAATTCTTGCATAACAGGTTCCTATATTTGTAGGGTTGCACATATGTTTCTTTAAAACATTTAATTAGCAAGAAGATCCAAAATGCCAAGTGTAATTAAAAATGTTCCTGGTGAGAAGTGTGTCTCACTTTCCAAATGGGCAGATGTCTGGGCTGAGTCAAATGGGGGCAGGTAATTTTGCAAAGGCTGTAGGGCTTAATCCTGCCCTCATTGAGGGAAATGGCATAACTTGCACTCAGTTAATTGGGAGCAAGATCAGGTGTAGTTTCTATAGGGCCAAAAAAGCTATGAAGCTAGTTCTCCAGGGCACGACGGAAGCTTTGTGCTGCTCTGCTGGTGCAGAGCTGCTTTAAAACCAGTTTCTGTGGCTGTGGAAGGCTTAACCCCAGCATTGGGGGAACCCTGAGTGGTGCAGAGCTACACAGCAGCTTTTATAGCCTTTTCTTGGCTGTTGGTGTCAGGGGTGTGGCCAGGGAAACAGGGACATGGCTAAGGCATCCTTAGAGATTTCTGAAGTGTTTCACATGGAGAGAAGTGTCACCATAGCAAAGAGAAAGTCAGCTGAGAGGCGCTGCCCACACATCTCACAAACACGAGTCACTCGAAACCCAAGTCAATGGATGTACTAACATTAACATGTGATATGAAAGAGAGCTTTATTTGATTTTACTTTCTGGGGTTCACGATCTGTCAGGTTCCTCCAGGTCAGGGCTGTGGCCTACTGACACAGGAGCTGGGTGGAAGCTTGCCAGGGCCAGCGCTCCGTTAGTTTTTTGTTTGTAGGCATATACTTGAGCCAAAACCCCAGACTCAAACACTCCCAGAGTTTGGATCCAGATCTGAATTTTCTAGCTCAGGCCCAACCACAACAACTGGCATTAATTGCTCCCCTTCATTGACAGTCTCAGCAGAGAGACCAAGGGCTGAACAGGCCCTGGATACTAAATTCCCCCTCTCACCCAGTCCCTCCAGGTCAAGATTATGCTCATTGGTGAGGACAGGTGGAGAAACCTGCATTATTGCTGTCTGTTCTGAGCATAAACTGAGAACAGGTGTCTCCAGGGTTTCTTAGAGCAGCCATAACACCCCATAAAAACATTACCAAAAAATTGTAGGCTACTTAGTACATCACACTTTCTTCTTTGCTTTTCTTAACCCTAGCTACTGCTTCCCTGTGACTTTTTATGTTCCTTAACTAGTCAGGTTCCCCTACTCTAGATTCTTCTTCTCCTTCACAGTCCAACTTAACTCCTCTGTTCTCTGTCAAGTTAAAAAAATAAAACCACCTCTTTCTGGAATCCACAGCGTATTAAACATTTGATCCTGTGCTTGTCCAAGCCTCAGATAGCTAGAGCATCATTTGGGTGATATCACTATGTTGTATGTGTTCTGGCTGGGTCTGAGTGAGACTTCCTATCTATTCCACATGCCTGCTTTAAAGATATTCAAAGCCTCCATGCCTTGGACTGTGTGACCGTAAAGCAGTCCCGTGTCAGAGAGAAAGGGGCCCGCTGGTAGCAGGCATAGCTGCTGACTCTGTGAGTGCTCCAGGGCTCACGCACCCACCGAAGAAAAAAATAGGGGGTGCTCAGCACCCACGAACCACCAGTAAATGGCAGGAGCACGCACATGGTGCACAGTGAAAAGAGAAGTCTAGTTATGGACCACTCATATGCTCTCTATAATTTGATAGGACAACCTGGTGCAATGGCCATGGCAGTGAGAGCTGCACAAATACCTAGCAGAGAGAAAGTGAGATAAAAATGTCCTGAGTTCTAATCCTGGCTCTGACACCAACTCCCTATATTGCCTTGAGGAAGCATTTTAATCTCTCTCCCCCTTAGTTTTCCCATCTGTAAAATAGGGATAGTTGTAAAACATAGAAATGTAGGGCAAGAAGGGACCGAGAGGTGATGTAGTCCATCCCCTGCCCTGAGGCAGTATTAAGTATACCTAGGCTGTCCTTTTCAGATAATGATACATAGTAAAGATAGCTGAATATTGCACAAACATTTTTTTAAATATAAATTCAGATTTTTAAATGAATTTGCTCCAGGTGTGTTCAAGTCCCTTTGTGTTCACTGTCCATTAACATGTATGAACTAGAGTTTCCCAAATGCTTATAGAAAGCAAATGTTAGGCTTGGACATTCAAATGCTTACAGAAAACTAATTTTAAATAACTTTCCATGAGTGATCCCACCAGAAACTCTACTGTAACGGTTATACTTGTCCAGTCAGGGAACAGAAACAATACCATGTGACCTAGATGACCAATCACAATTAAGCAACATAGCTTGCATTTCAAATGGGAATCCGCAAGGTGAAAGAAATGGCTGAAAAAATTCATTGAATAATTTTGAACAACAGATCCATTTGAGAAAAACCACAATCCGCTTACAGACATTCCACAAGCTGCAAAAAGCAAAATTAATTGAGTAAGTTACATATTAAGTATTATTCACTCAGCTCTTTATCATCTCATAAGTGGTGCGTGAGGTTCAGTTAGGTAACGTTTGTAAAAAATTTGCAAGATAAAGCGTTCTACATGATACATGTTTTTTATTATATCATTAACAAAAAGAAAGGGGCAAATCTGTCTCCCTTTACTACCATCTGTAGCCTGTTTGAAGTCCAAGGGGAATACTCAGGTCAGTAAAGCAAGCAGGACATGGCCCTACTATTAAAACTGATAAGCAACATCATACTCAGAAATTAATTTTAGAAAGGATTTTGTTTATTGTCCAGAATAATGATGTCATAATTAGAGCTGGCT